CAATTATTTGTGTATAGGCGCACCAACGAACGGCGCTGGTATCAGTCAGCTGCTAGGTATGTGTCAATCACTTCCAAAACATTTGAGATATATTCGTTTTTTATCATAAACACTAGATAAGTGATGTGCAAGACCATAGTTTTTTCGTCATAATTAAGAAATTAGAGATGGTTTCGACCTAAGCTGAAAAACTAAGAAGCTGTACTAATTTTGAAGCTTCCTAGTTTCTTGATTTGTGATCGAAATTTCCAAAGTAGCCTCTAAATTTCGCTATAATGTTAATTAGCGCCCACACGTAACGCACACTAGCAAGGAAAAAAATTCCACGGAAAAATTCAGGGCTGAAAGGGTTAAGATGGCGACTGACGACGACAGTGTAGGGACACTGTGACTGCGCGCGACTGTTGCAAGAAAGAAGAAGAATACCGTTGGACGCCATTCTAAAATGCAAAAGTCAGTTTCGTGGGCTGCCTACTACAAAACCTTTTCCCCGAAGTAAGCAAACCAACCCATTTGGCGCTTTTGCTGGGGCCGTATGCTGAATGTTGGAAAAGGGATGGGGTCAACGACAGTCGACGGACTACTCCAACTCGGTCCTCAAAACCACCTCAATTTGATATTTACCTCAAAACTAAGCCTTGAAGAGAGGACGGACCTGCGCCCTCCCTCCAAGGCTTAGTCCTGGGGTAAGCAAATCAGCCCTTTTGGCGGAGCTGATGAACCAACTGCACCACTTGCGTCATTGTTCTCCTACCGTACCGACAGTAGTAAGTCGACCGTCGGCGACTCCATTCCCTCTTCAACATTCAGCATACGGCCCCAGCAGAAACGCCAAAAGGGCTGGTTTGCTTACTCCTTTTCCCCGCCGTGCCAGTGACAGCCCCCCAAAATACCTCTTATAAAAATCGACTAGTGAGCCACCAAACGCTGACCGCTCCTTTGAATATTTTTATGAAACCTGGCTCTTTTCCATAACATGAAGAACACTTCTTTTATGGGAAAATTTGGGTTACTTCAATGTGCAGTTCAGAGGACTGTCAAATGTGCAAATTATCACTTCAAAAGATTCTATCGACACATTGAGCTTGGAAATTTTCTGCAAAAGTTTTTTATTGGTTTTTTGACGATGAGACAGCTGCATAGGAGAAAAAGGAACCTTACTTCGGTTTTCTTTGCACGTATTTTTACATACCTCTATAACCCTACTATTACTATTTTGAAAATCGCTACATTGTTGAAAGATCTTCAAGGTTTTGGCCGACGGGGCTTCCTCCTTGGAAGTCTAATTGTCGTGATGAAACAGCTGCATTATTTGCCACACATGGTTATACAAACTCAACAAAACGAGTCATTATTTTACCGTAATTGCAAAACTGAACCTTTGCAATTAGTAGAAATGATCCCCCATCTATACAGAACCATGTGTACACGCCGATTCCTTTCGTCCTGATCTATATGTAGTATTCAGCTGAACGGATCAATTCCATGAGGCCTCACGGTCACGGCAAGGGTCTAGCGTGTGTTGAGGAATCCTCGACAAGAGGAGTCGTATTAGTTCAATAGGGGGAGGAAGGCGTAAGACAGGAACTAGCAATGATCACAACAGCAGTGGCTGTTTGGAAGTGGATGGGGACCGCGATTCGCGTCGAACGTAAAGTGCAAGCAGGTCCCTGAGCGAGTCTGACCAACGTCGTGCCCTTGAATTTCCGTTCCCTTTATGGAAATGTGATTTCAGAAGACATCAAGATTTCTCAGGAGGGAACTATTCGAAATAACAGAAAGGAATCCATTAATTACTGTAAAATGCAATTTCCAGCATCACCTTGCAAACATATACATAACTTTTTGACTGATTAGAACATTGCAGTACTCATATTCACTAATGAGAAAGCAGAAAGCTGGTGAATTCCAAAATTCCTTTCCAATCACACAAAACGTCCATGAAAAAGGCTAGTACGGCCGCTGAAGGAGTGGCAATGCAACGAAGGAGTTCTGAACTGTTGAAATCATAGGAAGTTTTGACCTTTCAAAGTGAATTTCCCTCATTTCTTTTCAGGACTATCTCTCGTTAATTACCCAGGAACGGGTTTTGTCGGTTGTTTTTTTTAAAAAATGGACAATTGCTAAACAGTGCATCACAAACTTCCCCATCTTCTTTCGGATTGGAAATTCGTCAATTTGAAAAAAAAAAGTTATGGCCATTCGTTTACGTGTTCAATTCCAATGTGCTTCCCTATTAAATAAGCTGCCTCTAAATCAACGCATGCGTTGCAATAGCAATTACCTCTTTGCAGGCCGTCTAAACATAGAAGAAGAATTGTTAGTGGAGGAAGAGGGGAGGGGAAGGGTTGTTCCCTCTCCTCCCCTCAGTAACAACTGAGCTTCCCTCGATTCAAAGCTTCCCTCGACGCCTTGCTTGACCCCGCTCGAGCTGCTTAACGAATCCCGACACAATAGAGGTCTACACTATTGAATAAAATTTATTTCAAGTGGAAAACCAGGTTCAGTGAAATGAAGTGTATGATGAAACGAATCAACGAATGACTCAGTAGGAACTAGCCAGCCGTTAGCTATTCAGTTCTAGCTAGCGTTATATATGGTCTCAGTAATACTTATGTACCTGTCGGTACCACACAAAAGGGCTTCATTCTATCTCAAAGAGGGAAGGAGCAACGTGCTGAACAACCCCCCTTCCGTACTATCCAATTTTGCCAGTATTTTGCCTTCTAAATTCTGACCATATATCGATAGAGTTCACGATCTCACCGCTCCAACCGAACAACTTACGCACATCACAAAAGATCTGTACTAGCTCTCTGATTCAATGCTGGAAGATTTCCAACACAAACAAGACAACATGAACATCTGTACATGCACAATTGTGACTTGCGCCACCTTGTACTTACACTTTAACATGTTCACACAACACTTTTTATTACTTCCAAATCCTTTTTATTGACCACGAAATATAAAATGCGTACACAATCAATGTGCGAATAGGGGATGTACACTATTGCAAGAAACCTTTTTACAATGTAAAACCAGGTTCAGTCAAATAAAAAGCAGACAGTAAAATGACCTGAAAGAAACTACCACATTTCATATGATCAAAAAAAGCGAAATCAAAAGATTAAGGGGTGGGGCTAATGCTTTATATAGGGAGAAGTTATATGAAATAAAAGTTCATATAATATAGCATAAAACTTATGACCTTTGTGCGAAATTCTGACGCTTAGCCAAGCCCCCTGTATACTCGAAGCCGTAATTCAACAAGCAGATAGGTATGAGACGAGACACGTGATCGTAATGATGGGGTCTGTTTGAGGAACGAAACGCAAGTGGGGGACGGGACGAGATAAAGGAGGAGCGCGTAGCGAACCGCCATCGCCATCGCCCCACCTAGCAGGGCTTCAAATGGCGCTCGACTACTGACTGGCCTGCCGACGGCTGCTCCTCGGTGACACCTGCGTAAAAAGCTGCGAAAACCGCCTACCCACCTGTCTACTAACAAAGGACGACGATGCGACGAACCAACCCTGAACATGGCAAAGAAGACGTACATACACCACGGGAGCAACGAATGGATACACGTACAAGAGTAACAATTTTGCGTTAGCGGACAGGTGTTTACTGTTTCTCCATCTTCATCACTTCTTTTTATGCTTATGTGTTGCGCGCACAATGTGGCTACGCTACTACCCTCTTAAACGCGCACAACAAATAATACACGCTAAACTACTAGAGACACTTACTACCCTTAACTAGAGTGAAAGTTCGGGACGAGAGCTGAAGAGTGCTCAGGCAGACAGTGTGCAGGACACGACGTACGAGAATGGACGAATGGATCGGCGATCACCACGACGGCGATGATGATGACGATGATCAGAGACGCAAACAGATGATGAACGAATGAATGTATGCATGCATGAATAGATGATGGGGTGGGACTGGAAAACAGAGAGACCGTGCGCACTAGACCCGACACTACTTCCAGGCCGGGACAGAAAGAACACACATTCCAGAGCACAAGCACGCCGTACACTGAGAATCCACTTTTGGCAATAGGAGAGAACAAATATCGTCACTTAAGGCTCAGGCTCGAGGGCATTCACGAATAGTATATAGTACGTGAACACATGTTTTCTACATATATCATCATGAAGACAATTTACGATATATAGATACTATAACAAAAAAATCGACAAAACATGAAATAAAAGTGAGAAAGAGGTTCTATTCTCGGCCATGTTTATAGATTAGAATAAATGACCCATAAAAAAGAGACGGAGCGAGGAACGACGAGGAAGGAAAAGAAGGGCGGTATGATTGTTGCTGATTGGGATTGGGGACAGAATGGTAGAGGTCGGCACGGACATGTAAAGCCCGTTTACGGCAACAAACAACTGACACAATGAGATAAGACTACAAACTATGCAGAAATTCTTACATGATGACGACGTCGTTTCTCTAGGAGCATTACGGAGCTCTAATGCGCAGACGGCGAATGGTGCCCGATATTGACGATGAAGATAAAATGGTGATAACAATGCACAACACAACATCGTAGTGCGCTAACCATAGACACAAAGAGCGAGAGACTGGAAGAAGAGTGTACTTCAGAGAGAAACGTAGCTTAGAGAATCTAAAATCACATTTCGGGTAATATGACATTCTAGGTGGAACCTCATTCACTCAAATATAAGTAAAAAAAACAACAAACATCGCAACGAAAATATAAATGATGAGACATGAAGAGAGCACATTCTTGTGGAATCTTATTCTGGACGCGTATTAGCATATGGGGTTGAGATTTAGGAAAGGCGTAACGCGGCCCGTGTGTAGGAAGATAGTTTGCGGAGGATCTCTGAGCTTAACAAGACTTTATGAACCGTGGATTTGGTGATACAAGAGATACCGGACTCGATATGAGAATACGGTGATGGTGGTGCTGCGTTTGCTGCGTTCAATGAGCGAAAGGGATTGACAGAAGAGAAAAGTCTCTACTCGAGGAATGAGTAGTGGTAGGCGTCGGAGCTAAGTCCTTCGACAGCGGCACTGCCGCTCGACATGCCAGCGTCGGCCAAACCGCGTTGAATCTTCTTCGACAGCTCTGCCACCTCGATTTTCACCGTCGTCACTTCGATGATCAAGCGGTTATACTCTACCTGAAATAAGAACATAACACTTCATAACAACGTAATAATCACTAGTAACACTAGTAACACACTTCATGCAGATATTATATTACCTTTTGTACATCATTCATCCATCTTTGCGGACTGTTGCCGTCGACTTCACCATCAGGTCGTACACTATCTACCTAAAAGATATGGCAAATAAAAAGGTAGCCACAACAATCTCTATACAAAATAAAGCTCAAGTAGGTTTCATATAAAGAAGAGAATAACTCACAAGCATTTTAAGCTCGGCTTCACAACATTCCAGAGCAGGAATCAAGGCGAGCATTTTATTCATGTGTTGGAGCACATGAGGCGGTAAGTTCATTTGTTGCAGCACCGACATGTCAAGATAACCCTGTACAGAAGAACTAAGAACTATGAAGGACCATAAAACTTACATAACATAAAACAACACAAATATGCTCATGTAAATGCGATAAAAAACTATTGCAATCCTACCTTATCAACCGCATACTTCAATTGATCAGCAACGGCTTGAGTGTGGGGTTGTGAGGGACCAGGGGGCATTGGAGCTGCAGCCGTATTAGGCTGGCCCCATGCTGGCGCTTCGGGGGCAAATGGTTGAGGCTGTTGCTGAGAAGGCAAGAACCATGGCGAGTCAGTAGCATGTTGAGAATGTGACGGTAGATCGCCCCATTTACCGGAACCCGGTTGAGCTTCATCTGAAACAACGAGCATATATTCAACAACACACCTTCATGCCCAAACTAACGATAGAAAGATAATTGTCACTATTTTTCTTACCATGCTTTATTGGATTATTAGGATCGTTCTCTGGCAGTTCACCCCAACCGGTGACAACAATGGGACGTTTGGATGGGATTGGAAATGGCAATCGTGCTGATCCATCTTCATTCTGAACATGATTACGTTAACATAGTAGTAATAAATAAGAAATCGCAAAGGATCTCAAGCATTGCAATTCAGGCGGAATGCGTCAAGTTAACGAGCACTAGACAGAGACACGGGGTAAGCGTTTTAGACTAACACTTCCATCCACCTTCTTCTGCGGCACCGGGCACTTCATCAGCGCTACTTCGAGATCCTCTTCTTCACCTTCACCGATCATCCACAAGCGTACTGGTCGTTCATCTTCAATGAAAAATGGCACAAGGATTAGATCAATGACATGAAAGAATGTAGATTAGGACGTACTATTTTTCTCCGGATCACCCCACAACGAGACACCAGTGTCGCGCTGCCACTTCTTCAGATCTCCGTTAGGATCGTGCCACATCAGATCGTCAACGCCGCCAATTGGGAACTGACTTGGAGCAGCTTGAGGCTTACCGGACATTATTAGAGGAGCAGCCATCTGGAACAGCACGTATGCCAGATGGACCGCGCGTTGCACCGTATCACGTAAATAAAAACTAAATGAATAACAAACAAAAACGGCAACTTACTTGACCAAACGCTGCTGGCCCTCGAATTCCATTCGGAGCGACACCGATCTCGGGTTTCCACGTTCCAGCTGCATTAGGAGGAGCCATCTGTCGCATTCCTGACATTCCGCTCAGCTGGAATTGCAAACCAATCGATGACACTTTCAGGCTATTCGCACGAAATAAACTAACAGGTAGATCAATTGGAGGAGGAACACTCATATCCATGCCGCCAGGAGGATAGCGACCGCCGGCAGGACCACCTCGCCCCATTCCACCTCGTGGCATACCGGTAAGACGTTGCTGGTCCCATGGCATAGCTTGTTTCCCAACAGGAGGTCCACCCATCATTCCGCCATTTGGAGCCCATACTGAAACTGAGGAACATTTGCTAGATGGCAGTATAATAATATCAATAAAACAATACAAAAGAAAGCACTGAATACACATTCCAAGATACAGGAGAAAAACGCACCTTGTGGAGGTCGCTGAACGAACATTCGCGGTGGTTGCCCATGTGCACCATGTTGTGGAGGTGGTGCATTTGGATGAATCTGACGTGGTGGCCAAGCACCCATACCACTTGGTGGTCCGCCCCATCCTCCAGCCTGAAGAATCACGTGCGGCTAATGAAAACTACGAATGAATCAAGAATACGTTCGCTTGAATGCCACAAAGGTTTACTTGTTGCTGATGCTTCCAGTACCCATCGTGTTCTTGTTTCTGTAAATCGCTCCACAACGGCATCTGGTTGAGACCTGGAGTTGCACCCATCCAATCGCTACCACCTTGCGGATCCATCATACCGTTCATACCTCCTAAAAACGTGATCCAGTTAGTAACTAGATTATCACAGGTGCAACGTGTAGCTGTAAGCAAAAACATGGTATAAGCGTTCACAGTAACAGTGGGAAGCAGCACGGCAATTTCAGAGGAAGCGATTAAAGCAAAGGCTTGAGAAGGAAAGACGGCATCGCCGCAAATGCAGACTTTACTTTTCAACAGTCTCGGTCAAAAATAGGAGAACATGGGCGATGGCAACAATTTTTTTTTGGTTTGAATAATGACAGTGGCAATTACAGAGGTGATGACGACGGGTAAGTAGAGACTAAGGTAGTGAATGGAGCAAACATGAACGAAAGGTATCTTCCCATCGAAGCGTCGATCTCTTAAGGAAAAAAAAACGAAAATGAAAGACAAAGCCATATAAAAAGGAGAAGCGAATGACTGTCAAACGGCAAAAATGATTGCGTCCATAGCGATGGGTTTCGACCTTCATGACATCGTTCAACTGACAGTCAGTTTTGCTCAACCACAATACTCCAACTTGGTTACTCACACTGCATCATGCATGCATTAAGGGTGCTAGAGCGTTACTTACGATGATGTCCGTGCATGGGGTTAAATTGTTGTTGCTGTTGATCTACGTGAGGGTCGGACCAGATTTTCGCGGCCTCACCGAAGTCGCCTGGTGCCGCTCCCATTGGCGCACCCCAACTTGCTTGACCACCAGGAGTAGCGCCGATTCCCAGAGCATCATTTACGCCTTGAGCTGAAAATAGCAACATATACCTATGTAATGTGGGCACATTTCACATTCGTCCTCCGGAAGGCAACACTTTCTTCTTCTTCTTTAATCCGTAATTTCGATTAGCATAGATCTTCGCTCAAACCAAGTAAATAACAAAGAAAAGTGAACAAAAAGAATGGTGGCTCTTTATAAGAGGTATGGTCTGTGAATTTTTATGAAGCGCTCAGGATAAGAAACCAAAATAGAGTTGAGCTATACCCCAAGCGACACTCAAAAACAAGTAAAGTTGCATTAAGTTATGCTTAGGGCTTGAGTGTCTAACCTGTTTTTGGTGTCCTTATTAGTTTCAGCCATGGTTTCATAGTTTCTTCCTCCAAGGAACGAAATTCTCGCAAAACTCCATAAAATGAAACCGATATACCCTAATTACAATTCCTTACTGAGGAATATACAATAGGCCTTATAAGAAAGATTAAGGAATGGTAGGGAGATCTGCTTAGAGTGATACAGGGCGCAAACAAGACGGAACAATTGAGAAATAATCGATGGATTGACACCCTCATAAACACACTACAAAAATTCAAAATGATTTGTTTGTTTCTCGCAAATGGCCTATTCTCAAAGTGTAAAAAAGCGAGAAGCGGCATCTAGATCACCCACGGCAAAACAGAAAGTCAAAAGGATCATTCAGAAACAGTACGCTAGAACTCAACCTCATAGGTATTAGTCACCTATTCTAGACTAACACAACCATAGGTTTCAGTTTATAAGGATCTCCTTTCTGCATCGAATGGACATAGAAAAACTATTCAACCTTACATCATCAAATTAATCTAAAACGAAAGAGAATTGTAACCATCTACTCGCAAAAGATAAAACCAAATCTTTAGAAAGTGGAGGAAACAAATAGTTGTAAACATACCGAGTGCGTTTGGGTCCTGCCATGGATTACGCATCTGTTGTGGTGACATGTGACCCCATCCAGCTTGACCGCCTGATGCTCCTCCACCAGGCATGCCGGAAGCCCACGGCTGAAATGTGAAGGTGAAGAAAAAAGAAAAGAAATGAACGGATACGCTATTTTAGATTTCTACTCGATGTGGCACATGCAGTAACGTATATCAAAAATCAAAATAACAAATAAGTGGCTGAGTCATGCGCCGCCGTTCCTAATTCGAAAAAACCAATATACCCACACAATAAGAGCTTTTCTGCATGTATCAAAATGTGCCCACTGGAGCGATTACGAACGAATCAGACAGTGATGTCTGCTATTATGACTACGACGGTGAGCGTTCGCTCAAACAAATACACGAGCCGCTGATGTTCGCGACAGAATCGATACGTCGAGCGATGTGATGGAATTGCGTGCGGTTCAGTAGAAAAAAAAAACATTCTAAGCACACCCTGTTCAACACAACATAAAAATTGATAGGGTTCAAATTCTACCTTATTCACCTCATCACAAAATTATAACATCCATAACACAATGCTACTCCTTTACCGTAATAATATTGCTCGTAAACGATCATGAAAACGTATTCCGTTTGGCTTATTCGGAATCACAATTCCGCTACCAACAGCAATCATTTGGTTCGAGAAGCAACGTCAGCTTAGCAACGGTATCCAACTAGATATGAACGATGGGGTAGCATTACCGCAAAAAAGAGCACACCAATAGAATACAACAAGAAAGTAGACGCAATGAGATTTGGCCAACGCTTTAGTCTGTGAAGCCGAAAAAACGATCAATAAAACTGGAAACGCCATTTGTCCTTGGAAGCGATAGGTGAGCAATGCATACGAAAACTAGAAGCATTTGCGAGTTGAATCGAACTTCAGAAGTCTATATCACACGGAGAGAACAATGAGCAGTCACGCACCAACTCCAACGCACAAAGAAAACAAGAGGGAAACTGCGAGATCGATAAAACGAAAACTGGGCAGGAAATCAATGTGAAAAGTACACGCGGCAGCGGCGGCCAGTGTGTTCAGGCGTGGGCGCTTGTGGTGAAATGTGGGTGTGTTTGCAAGTATCTGTGTGTATATGGATGTATATCTATCCGAATATTTGTGTATGTACCTGTGTTTGCCACCGCATGTCGCAAACTTCTACTGTGGTATGAAAGGAGATGACACAGTGTCTCTCGTCGAGCTTTTTGGAGTGTCCGCTTCGTGCGAACCATACGATACGTATGAATCGATGACGTCGAGAACTGGCCGCGTTTAGAGAGGGCTAGACCCCGCGCCGCGTGTGCGAATGGTGCTACCGTACGGCGATGGTGGAGACCAGCGCGATGGTGGTGATGGGGAAGAAGAAGAAACTCGACCGCCGGCCGCTCTTTCCCCCTCCACGCATAGGGAACTCTGAACAGGTTTACAAAGAGCTCATCATTAGACAACGCGACCCACGCTCAGTCGCTCATCTTGCAAATGTCTACGACGTCTGCTGAAAACGACAACTGCAGAGCAACGGACATTTTCCATGATGCTGTACTCTAGGCCATGGACCATGCTCACCAATAGCGCGCGTGCGCTAAAAGAACCGCGTGAACTAGGCGATGCTGCATTAAGCCCTACAGTTTTTAGCGCAAGCTATTCCGTCGCACTGTCTGCACTTGTAAATATTAAAGAGAATCTGCCACAACAAAGCGTCAGGGCTTTCGTAAACTTAATTTATCAACGGCTACCTAGAAACAAAATGTCATTCGCTCGTCACAATCACTCATCGCTCATTTCATGATATCTCGGCACATGAAATACTAGCTAATGTTTGATTATAATATAATGGAGAACATCACAGTACCAAAAGAGCTAATTATCAAATCAATAATGGAATAAAAGAACTAATTTAATCGATCGAAAAATACCTGCTGAGGTTGATCGTGTTGTGACCGCCATGGCATGTCATCGATGCTTAAATTGGGAAGACTTCGTTCGAGATCCATGTTGCCGACTACGCGACAACTGTAACTCGGATCTGAAAATTATTTCCAGTAGTTTTTTTTTCTCTAAGAAACACAATTCAAACACTGAAAACCATATGAAAAACGACGAGAACGGCTCCGCAAAGTAATCGCCATGACCACTAACAAATGGCAGATACCAGGGAAAAGGGAAAAAGTTTACGAACAGCATCATGTGCCTTTCATTGAATTACATGAGACACCAACAACGCTCCGTTAGGCGAGAATGTCATATAACAACGCTATCTAACGGATCTAGAAAAAGAAACGGAAGAACAATCGATGACTAGTGCTGCAAACAAAACGAATATTCGTTCAACTGCCGGCTGACCCGATGCATTCGCCTTTTCGACAACAGAAAAACCAATAAGTGGGAAGAAAGCTTTCTGGAATGCACAGAAGCGATCGCATTGAAATATTCAAATCCACTACAGAGTAGAATAAGCAGCATGGTGATATTGCCTTGAAGTCAACAAAAGATCAATGTTTGTGAGTACAACAAACGCAGTAGAAAACAGGTTTAGCGCAAAGATACAACACCAACATTCGTGAGAAAAACTCAAACTGAAGAAGTGAATGGCGAAGAATAATGTTTTAACGCGACTGATTAGGGATTCATCTAGTCGAAACATTTGCTGTTGTTCACATTCCAAAAACCTAATCCACCAACAGATTTTCAAGTTCTGCTTCATGGCCACCATACAAAGAATATCATTCCAGCAGGAAGCTCACACATATCCACGTGTTATAGTAAGACACACATTGATAGCTAGACTTAAACGTGAAAATGGATATTTGGTGCGACTGATGAAATCCCACTTGGCTACGACCTCTATATAACCACCGATCTCTTACTCAATCAAGCGGAAGGGAATAACTCACTCTACCGTTTTCTTCATAACCTCGCACTGTTTATTTTTTCAAACATCGCTGATTCAATGGAGCTGCAGGTAGGGAATTTTTTTCAACCTAACTATGTACCCGATGAAAACATGGGAGAGATACGCCAGAAATCGATAATGCTGTGATCTGTCACCCGCCGATAGCACGGACGCGCAAGTTACACACTGCTTGAAAGCGTGTCTATAACGCATTTCTTCTAGCGTATGAAAACAATCTCAAACAGCAAAGTACTGGTTGCGGGAAGAAATCTTGGTCAGTAAATCATACCATCTGATAAAATACCGTAAGAAGGAGAGCATAACAGACAGTATTAGCTACAGAAAAAGACTCAAACTCAATATTGCTTTCCAGTCACGATGGATATAACAAATTATCGATATCGCGAGCAGAATGCACTCAGTGAAGGAAAAAAATATAGAAAGCTATGGCACAAGTCCGAAAAAATCACCAGGAGTCAAGCACGTGGAACTCCTCGCTGCTGCTGCACTGAACGAACATTAGGGTAGGCTGGTGTCAGAGTCTGCGATCCGTCGCTGGTTTCGCTGATCTTCGCGAATTGCGCGATTCACGCAATTTTTCCGATTTTCGCGAAACCTGCGACAGATCACAAAAATTGCAAGCGCCCCATTTAAACATTTGAATAAGAAACAAGTGGAATCTGAGCAGTCGTCAGTCAGCCATCACTGTAAGCAGGATTGGCGGCAGGATTGGAGAACACTGCAGTATTGATCGGGCACTTGTGATTTCCGTGACTCGTCGCGTGAATCGCGGCGTGAATCGCACAAATCGCGAGAATCAGCGAAACCTACGACGGATCGCGGACTCTGACACCAGCCTTACAGAGCTACATTTTAAACAGGGTCTAGTATGAGGAATAACCTAAGCCCTATATCTCGAATTCTGATTAGGCGTGGCTATGACGTGGCGACCGCCGGTAAATGCTGCGCGGATAAGCTGCTTCCAGCATGCTTTGCTGATATCCAAAGAGTATGCTAGAAACAGCTTATCCACTCGTCTTGTATCAAGTGCAGCGACGCCCACGTCACATCCACAGACACGAATAATCAGACTTCGAGATATGGACTGTACAACTTTACAAGCCCAAATCCAAAGAAGCGTGACCCGCCCGACATGCTACAACCCATTTTGAAGTCCTCGATAGGAACTCTTGTAGAGACGACAATCATTTTCCTCGTAGCCAAGCCCGAAAACCGTATAGCAAACAACAACACACACAATAGTAACGCACATGTGAACTAAACCTCCATCCAATCCAACCGAATAAAGAGAACGGGAAAAGAGGAAGTACCAAGAAGATTTTCAGGTGAAACCCAAGAAGTTGAGTACCAACCTACCGAACGAACGTGTCACACTATTAAGCTGTGATAAACTGTGACATAAGTAACGTATTTGTCAACACAAACGGCCTCGAAACCTCAACAATATCTCGCTCAGGGCGCACGCATAGTCGGTCGTCCGACAGCAACGATCGCAACTGACTGTCCGACTGTATCTAATCGTCCAATACTCAGGCAAGTCCGGCGATCGATACGCATCCAATGCTTGCGACAGCTACGATCGTTGCTGTCGTCCGACATTACTATGCGTGCGCCCTCACAGAAGCTGTTATTTCGACACCCATACCGAACCGGAGTAGCTTAAAAATTACTGAGTCCATCGATTTAAGATTGAAATATTCAAGTTTCAGCTGCTGTGAAGTGATACGACACCCCTGTAATCTCTACCCCCGTCCTATCTGTGATGTAACTGGAAGAGAGAAAAGTCTGGAAATATATACACCATAGCTCAAGTTCGCTGCCACACTTATGAAAACAAAAATTGAACCTCAACATCGCGAAATTCATCAGAATTTAAGCCGAAAAGCATGCAAACTCCAAACTTGCCACAACAACATCTCAAAAGTTCTCTGTGTGGAGAATATGATTTTAGATATGTGACAAAACGTCAATTTGAATGTTGCCATTAAACATCAATACTATATGAAAGCAATGAATAGCGCTTTAGCAAGCCCTATTAGACTGTCTTCTGCAACTGAAGCCAAAGTTAGCACTAAACCGCCAAATTCAGGGCTACAGTCGTCATATCATACTGACATTTTCATGCTCCGTCCAACAGTTACGGCAATCGATGAAGCGTTCAAGGTGAACTCGGCAGAGAGAAGCCCAGAAGAAAACGGACCATTACTTGACTACAAGTTTAATCAGATTCTAGCTACCGCACTAAGGGAATCAGACAGTGTAGAAAACTGTGTCCTAAACTGAACTTCACATCAGCAAACGAGAGCTCAGTCAGTACATTTTTGATTAAATGGTGAATATGGTCTAAAAGCCCCATGCTCCTCAAGCTCCGAAGTTATGCAATCAGATTAGAAATGGATTGTTACTGTAGGATCATAGGGAGAGCAAATTGGGAAGTATGAGTAACGAACGGGAAGCAGGATAGGCAGTTGGGTGCTAATTTCTTGAAGATCATAGAAATCCAAGTCAGAGCATCAAAGAAATCTAAATCAGAGCCAATCCACTATAAACTAACTTTGACCCGGTACCATTTATACCACAATCCACAAAAAAAAGGCAAGATATGAAGTGTGATGTTGTACATTGCACCAAAACATCTTATTTAACGCCGCATCTTGCATCAACGATGTCAAAAACTTGCGAAGTCAATTCAGATTTGTTCTTGTGGGAGCAGGGAAGGGTACAGAAACATAAAAAGTCACAACCATCACTCATTCGACACCAGAATTACGCAAACAGTAATGTGTAATGTGATATGATGATCGCCTCACCTCAAGTGTCAAGGGCTCATCTCAATTGGTAAAGAATGCCGTAAAGATTTGAAAACTCGACAAGGCGCAAAATTGGCCGCAAAAGAAATGAACAACTATTTGATTTTTTTGAACATGATTAGGAGCACGATCTTGACGTGTGGCTTCAAGTTTTGACTTCTGCGTACATCAAGGGAAGATTTCTCCCCGGGTCAGGAAATTTGTATGGGTTTCATCGTTGCTCTCCATTCACCAAGTTTTCCAATACAGCGACTCTAATTAAATTGTTTTCAAGGCGCTAGTTGGAGTTTGTTGTTAGAACTGAGCTGGGCCATACACGAAGCCATATGTTCCTTGTCCTCAGCACTAGCCGCAAACTCATATCCAAATAATTCATGTCAAACACTCCAATAGGAGTTGACATCGGAAAAGATGCGTCCAGAGGAACCAAAGATCGCAATTTAGATATCCTCCAATCAAGAGGCTAGGCACTGGGGGAGCTACGCGTGCAAAAGCAAAAAAAACCCATTCCCTTGATCTGTTGTACCGATTCTAAAGAGCAGGATTTACAAAACTATTCTTCAAAGTAGAAGGGCCCATTCTTGATTAACTCAAAAAAAGACAAAACGGAAGAAAAAGACCGCATCCAGTAACTCCGATCCTAAACGACTTGAGCCAAAAACAGTTCGCCGCAGGATTACATGTGGTTGGGTATAATTAATGTAGTATGCAACCTCACACTTTATATCACGGTTTTTTAGAGTTACGGTACAAATGATACCAGAATGAACTTCAATTTAGTGCCAATCATTACGGGACAACAATACCTCTCCCTACTCATGCTTCTTGAAGGTTCATAGAGGTAAACCCGATAGGGCGCACGCATAGTCGGTCGTCCGACAGCAACGATCGCAACTGTCTGACTGTCTAACTGCATCTAATCGTCGAATACTCAGGCAAATCCGACGATCGATACGCATCCAATGCTGTGCGACAGTTACGATCGTTGCTGTCGTCCGACCGACTATGCGTGCGCCCATAATGCGCAAGGTGATATGCTCAAACAGCTGTGCATAGGATTGGGAAATTTGAACCATTTTGCAACAGACGAGTAATTAACTCATGACTTCACGAGGGCGTTATTGGTGCAGTGTTAGAGGCACTGCTTACCACGCCGGCGATCTGGAAATCCACGTCATCCCTGCCTTCCATCCCTGCGGAGTCGATTAATTGGTACCAGACTTGACTGGGAGGATAAAAACAGTGACTGGTACATGGACTGGCCCACGCA